AAACCCTGATTCTCTAGTAGACTCTAGGAGTCTGCGCGTGCCCTTTGCATAGGAGGACTGCAAGCTGCCCATGTGAAAAAGCGTCCCCAGGGTTGCAACCACAGGAGCCAGGTTAAGCGTGCTTCAAATACCGGATACGATCAAGCCAAGAGGTCCACTTGTTTCCGAGGCCAGACCTGCTCCCCTGTGCTTGCAAACCAAGCGCACTACGGAGCCGCCGCGGGGGGCGTCATCATGAAGGACAAAAATCTTCCGCACGAGTCTTAGCCAATGCATTGGCGTTCCCGGATTGAATGAGTAGAAATAAAGTAAATAATGAGGCAATCACATTTGATAATGACAAAATGAACATTTTTGTAATTCTTTGATATGAAAGATAATGATCCTATTAGGGTCCAATTATATTATTTGAAACTACTCGAAATGACATTGTTATTTTTGTTATCCCATTTCATATATCTATAGGCTCACTACAAATTGATATCAATGACTGTGATATTTAGCGTAATAAGTTTATGACTTTTATCTGATTGTTCCTAAATAAAATTGACAGCATTTCCTGGCAGCCCCTAACCCACAGCAGCCAGTGGCTTCCAGGAAAAGCAAGGGTTTTTGTGAATTTTCCAATCATCCGTCGGGCTAAAGAACAAGGGGTCCTGCTTGTTCATCCTAGACCATCCAAATCCCCGTTCCTTAGAAATTCTTCCTCTATAAGCAAGAAAAGCCCATGTGCTTTGCTGAAGCTTTATTCTTGACAGCTTACTCCTCTCTGAACAGTGCTGGAAAATTGAAAATTTGTGTTTTTAAAGTTAAATGAACCATTCCTTTTCCACATTCACACAATTGGCAAAAGGAACATAAGTTGATGTGGAAAAATGAGTTCTCATAAAATGTGAACTCCTTCTGTTTGGACTAGAGTTTCAATGGACCTGGGAACTTCAGATTCAAATTTTGGGGAAATTCTTCCTTCATTCATTCATTGTTGGCCACTTCTCCCCCGAACCCATGGGACACAAATGTAAAACCAAATAAATATGAACCCGGGAAAAAAAAGCAGTAAATGCAGCTATTGGATGCCACCGCAAGGGAAATGAAGTCAGGAAATTCCTTTTGATGAATTTTGCTTCTTTCCTTTCTTTTTTTTTTTTTTTTGAACCAGAGGTCTCACTCTGTTTGCCCTGGGCTAGAGTGCCTGGCGTCAACTAAGCTCAACCAGCAAACCTCCAAACTCCTGGGCCAGGTGATCCTCCCTCCTCAGCCTCCTGAGTACCCTGGGAACAACAGGCACGTGTCGCCATGCCAGGCTTTACATTTTTTGCTATTTAATTTTTTTAGTTGTCCAGCTAATTCTTTTCCCTATTTTAGTAAGAGAACGGGTCTCACTCTTGTGTAGGCCTGGTCTCGAAAACTCCTGAGCTCAAATGACCGCCTGTCTCGGCCGTCTGGCCTCCTAGAGTGGCTAAGGATTAAACAGCATAGCCCCCCGCAAGCCGGCCCAATTTGCTTCTTCAACTAAACTTTAATTGTGTGTGCCTTTTTTTTCCCCCCACCTTTTTATAAAATTCCTCAGAATCTTAAAGTAAACAAACATTCGTAAAAAGTAAAACCTTATTTAAGCATCTTTAAATGAATTAATATTTGCCAATTTCTGTGAAAATGGTTTTACAAGATCATCCCAAATGGCCTGAAGGAGAAAAAAACCAGGGCAAGAGAGAGGAGGAAAAGGAAGGAGCATTTGTGATTTATCAGATTTCCAGTTGGGTGGCGATTGGCCAAAGAATGAGGGAAGCCAACTCACTAAAAACCTTTCCTAGGCAAAGGCGAGAAATCGAAAAACAGATAATGAAAGCAAAGGGTGCCTTTGGCATGTTTTCGCGGGTATTGGGGGGGGAAGTTGTGGGCCGTGCCTTTTCTTTAACGAGCTGCCACAAAGATAACTGAATTTGCGTGGGTAAGCAATCATGTCCCACACCAATAGAGACAAGGGGGCCCAAGATGGCAACCCCTGGACAGTCAACGGATAATTCGAGGAAATACCAGTTGCATCTTGAAATTTAATCAAATGGTTATTCTGGCTTGTTTAAGATTGGAGCTTTCCCACGTAATTGCTATTACAACTTTGTGGGGTCCAAAGAAAAATGCTTTTACCCCATGAAAACACTCTTTTTTTAAACCGTGAAGCCAAAATCCCTAGGTCAAATCAATAGATAACAAACATCAATTACCATGGTCATTTCCTTAGCAACTTATTTTGATCAGAACATGATCTTTCCCTTTCATTTTTTGTTTTGTCAGTAAATCAGTAAGTTAAGTGGGTCTACAAGTTCTTAACTTAATCCTGAAGGCCAACAACAAAAGTTTGAAATATACCCTTTCCCCTATCACAGGTCTGGAAGGGAGGACAAAATCCAGGTGGTTTGCGATGTGACCGGTGTGCTGGCCAACCGATGAAGCATCTCTTGTGTGAACCCTCGTGTAATCCCTTACAAAATCCCTGGGTGGGGGGAGAAATAACTGGGGTTCCTCAATCTTTAGAGGCGAAGAAAACCTGAAAAGCATAGAAGAGGCCAAAGAAACGTGGAAAGCAACAATTAGGAACTTGCTCCACACCATTGAAGAATCAAGACCAGGTTCCGGGTTTTGCAAAGCCCCTTGTTTCCCAAGCCTCACGTGAAAGCATGCTTGACTAGCCACTTAACTTGCTGAGCAAAAGACCTTTCCGGTTCCTCCTGAGTTGGTGGGCCCCGCCCCAAAAGAGGTGGTCGAACCGTTTCCTAATCCCTGGAACCCGTGAGTTTATCTTATATGGCAAAGAAATGTGATTCCAGTTTTTAAGGATCTTGAAGGGGATTGGGTTTTATGCAGGTTGCCCTAAATTCCAATCAAAGCGTAATCCTGTGTCCCAAGACCACACACACAAGAGGAAAGACACGTGCAGAGGTGAAGGCATGTGACGATGCAGGCAAAGGTTGGAGTGATGCGGCCACAAGCCCAGGAACACCTGGAACCAGCAGGCACTTGAAGAGGCAAGAAAGGAGCCTCCCCTGAAGCTTCCAGAGTGAGCATGGCCCTATGGACACCTTGATTTCGTACTTCTAACCTTCAGAGCTGTAACATAATAGTTCCTCGTTTTAAGCCACCTGGTTTGTGGCACTTGGTCTGGCAGCCCTAGCAATCCAACAGGCCCCTTTGCTGCCCACTCCTGGCCTCTTCCTTGTTGAGAGGTCACCAGTGCTTTTCGGGTGTCACTCCTCCAGGAAGCTGATGCCACCTCTAGCCTAGATGCAAATTCTGACTAGTCCAGGACAATCACGGAAACCTCAGTTCCTCTCGGTGAGTAGAGAGGGGAGACAGCTGGCTGTGTTGTTGCTACTGAGGCTTGGGGAGACGTCAGAAGACCTGGCTGGTGTTTGGGAAAGGTTTCATTTCTCATGTTGCTGTGCAAAATGACCAAAGATGGCAACCTAAGGGGGTGCCGGGTCAAAGTCTAGGAGGCCTGCAAAATGGGGCCACCAGAGCCATGTGGGCAAGGGAAAGGAGTGCTGGTTAAGAAGCTGGGCAGGGTGGGCTGGGGAAGCCCACGTAGGAGCCTGTTGAAGCCAGTGCGGGGCTGGGGGGGATGGAGACCAGCCCCAGCCAGTCTGACCTGAGGGCCAGGGTCTGAGGGGGTGTTTGGTGTTCTTCCTAACCAGCGGGAAGAACAGAGGATTTGCACCAGAATGTGTGCCCGGAGCAGACACAAACACAGAAACAGGCCTTAAAGGCCTGAATGGTAGCACTGCTGTTACCGGGCCCATTTAGACTTCCCGCACGTAGGATGCAGGTGAAGTTTTACTTGTTCTGCCATGAGCTATATGATGGATAATTTTTAGAAAATTTTATTATTGTTCCCTTAGACATATGACTCCCTAAAATTTTCTATGGATTCAATGCAGACACCAAACAAAACCCCAAGAGGGCTTTCCATGGACCTTGATCAAAATGGTGCTAAATTTTATGTGTTGAAGGGTAACATTAGCTTGAGTATTTCCGAATAAGAGCAGGAAGTGTGGATTTGTCTATTAGATGTAAGTATTTACTATGAAGCTTTACACTAGATCTAAATGCTTTTAATTTTCACTATAAAAACACTTAGAACAAGCAGTTAAACCAAAAAATTAGCTAAATAAGCAGGGAGATAAACTAAACAGGGCAGATAAGACTGCTTGGTGGTCTTTGTCACCTGATATTCTAAAATTTTAAGAACACATCAGAAATTCCTCTATGGACAGTTCTGAGGGGGAAGGAACAAACACTTTACAGGGCCTCCCACACATACTCAAATGCCTCTCGTTTACTCCCGAGCGCCGTTTGGCAGTGTGAGGTGCCAGTGCGCATTCTCAAGGCTGTCTTCCAGGGTGCAGGCACATGTCCCTCTCATTGCCATCCTAACGAGCCACACAACAGGGAGGCTTGACGTGGCCGCGGCACCTGCACAGGCCCACACCTGCTAGAAAAGGCCCGCGCGGATGTAGAGTGTATGCTTTCCCCACTGCGTGCCACGACCTCAGTTCACACAGGGGCATGTGTGAGCTAGATTCCTAAAAACCACACGCTGCCTACACCCTTCCATGACGGTGGAAGGACGGGGCTCACCACGTCCCCACGTATCTTTACATGCTCAACTCCAGTCAGATTCCAAAGTATGTGGAGGGAAGCTGCTTCTGACACTTTTTTGTTAGTTTTAATTTTATTCCGCAGCCTTTATACAGTTATATAATATAAAAAGCATAAAATACTAACATCTATTTTATTTACATGATGCAAAATTTTCAGTAACAAATTTCTCATCATGAAAGATGATGTTTAATAGAGCAGAAATATGATTGACAATTCAATAACATAAAATATGCTCTATTTCCACATTTTTTCACAAGAAAATCTCTAGTTTGTCTACATGTAACAAATACTTGATTAAATTCACTTTTATAAGCTGTATACTCTTTCCTTCTTATTCTTTTGAACAGATTCCGGAAGAGAGCTGTGAAGATCAGAGTAGTGAACTGGCACCAATCCACACCCGTCCGGCAACAGCGTGCTTGCTTCTTTTAGTTTTCTTGGAATCGATTATCTTCAACGACAATAGTTCTTCTAGGGTAGGATTCAACTTCTACAAATATGTATCGAATATCACATTCACCGCTTTTTGGGTTCTGAAAAAATGTAGCATTTCCAGGTGTTACTTTCCTTACCAGCGCACAACGACACCAAGCCCAGAGCCACCAGCTCCCCACCCCGTGGTTCTCACACCTCTTTCACTTCCACGTGCACCGTTCCCTGCTTCCTGGGCTCAGAGCCTTCAATGTAGAACTTCACACGCGAGTGTCTTAGCCCATCTTTCTCATATTCAACACAACTGTCAAGAAATGAACGGGCATAAGTCTAAGTTCCTTTCACTTAAGAACGACCCTGAGCTTTCTGGTTCAGGGCGCCTGCAGTACCTGACGTGCTGTCTCCGGCCTCGCCTGGTCACCTCCCCGTAGCCTTTAATGGACTCACCGAAGACGCTGATCACCTGCACAACAAAGATGGGGCTTTACCTCGTGTCATTTTTCTAAGCTTTCCAAGGAAACATTTTTTGACAAAGCTATTTTTTTTTTCTTTATTTTTTTAAATTTTTGAGACAGAGTCTCACTCTGTTGCTCAGGCTAGAGTGTCGTGGCGTCAGCCTAGCTCACAGCAAACTCAAACTCCTGGGCTCAAGCGATCCTCCTGCCTCAGCCTCCCAAATAGCTGGGACTACAGGCATGCGCCACCATGCCTGGCTAATTTTTTCTATATATTTTTAGTTGTCCAGCTAATTTCTTTCTATTTTTAGTAGAGACGGAATCTCACTCTTGCTCAGGCTGGTCTCGAACTCCTGACTTCACGGGATTCTCCTGCCTCAGCCTCCCAGAGTGCTAGGATTACAGATGTGAGCCACCGTGCCCAGCCAAAGCTATCTGTTACAGGATTTAAAAAAATCAGTAAGCCTAGGACCCTTTCAAAAATGAAGATTCCAATGATGAGAAAACAGAAAAACAAAAAGAAAAGATTATGCAAAAATCATCCCTTAAAAAATTTGAGCCAATATTTCATTCCAAGATGAAAACAGGCAACTTTATGTGGCTTGTAGTTTCAGAACAATGTAGGCTGAAGTGAAGCTGTTCCCACTTCCCTTACAAAAAACAAAATAAACAAAATGTTCAAATATTTCACTACTGACATCTTACAGTTTGAAGATAAAAATGAACATTTTTAATAAAATTTATTAATGGGATCTAATACTATTAATAAAAGCTACGAGATCAAAATGACTTTTTAAGTCACTAAAAACAGTGAGAAAAAAACAAGCCATCATGACATTTAAAATAAACCAGAGCTATGGGTGTGAAGCAATTATTCCAATGGAAAAATTCACGATATAGAAATGTAGTTTTTATTTAATTTAAAATGTAAATACTATGGAACTCTCTCTAAAAAATACAGATTTGACATCAAACTAAACAAACTTGACTCTTTACAAAATTTTTTTTTTTTTTTTTGTAGATTCAGTATCACATTTTCCAGGATAAATAAAAGGGCATAATGTTTACGATGACAGATATTTCAGAACTGGGTAGCTGAAACAATGAAATGAGTATCCAGATATACTTGAATAAACAAATCAATATCAGAACATTAGGATTTTCTATTTTTCAAGCAGGCACTGTACCAGCAAAGAGAAGGCCCTTAAAAAATGTTGACAAAATTGTTTAGGTCTAATTATTATTTATGGAGCATTTTAGGCAGCAAATTAAGTTGTAACTTTAAATATCTCACTGTTTATTCTATGCAGTTTTGTTTTATTCAAAATGAGCAAAAAATCTATGAAAAGCTGAGTTTATGAATAACCCAGCAACTCTTTCCGGGGAGGCAACCTAACATCTAATTATTATAGGTTACCACCCATGTGTTTTTTTGTAGTCTGTAACAAGTGATTTTTTTTTTTTTCAGATATAATTTGGATTCCCAATGGCTATACTGGGAAACTTCCTTATTTCCCTAATGATTTTCAACTCACTCAGTGATACGTTTCCCTCCCTGCTTCTTTCTCCATAGTAACTAGACTGCCCAGAGTCCAATTTAGAGAAATCAGTGGATTTAAAAAGAAAGATGCCAGGCCGGGCGCTGTGGCTCACGCCTGTAATCCTAGCTCTTGGGAGGCCGAGGCGGGCGGATTGCTCAAGGTCAGGAGTTCAAAACCAGCCTGAGCAAGAGCGAGACCCCGTCTCTACTATAAATAGAAAGAAATTAATTGGCCAACTGATATATATATATATAAAAAAAAAATTAGCCGGGCATGGTGGCGCATGCCTGTAGTCCCAGCTACTCGGGAGGCTGAGGCAGAAGGATCACTCAAGCCCAGGAGATTGAGGTTGCTGTGAGCTAGGCTGACGCCACGGCACTCACTCTAGCCTGGACAACAAAGTGAGACTCTGTCTCAAAAAAAAAAAAAAAAAGAAAGATGCCAGAGACTGTTAGCTTCTGAGTTTCCACACGATTAGAGAAACTAATGAAGCACTCCGAGCCAGTGCCCCAGGAAAACCAGTTCAGCGTCTCCTGAGAGCGATCTGTGGGCTCACACCCTTCCCCTTGCCCGAGACTCCTTATTCTTTGTGTCTTTGACGTTACTGCTTGGTCTGGGTGAAGAACAGCCATAATATGTATGATGCTGTCATTACGTTTCAATGCGAAAGACTTAGGGTTTCAGTGAGTGGTATTTTCAATGCTGACACTTCCCACCCAGGGAGTGAGAAAGCTGGCACTCCACGGGCCACACTGGCTGGTGATCCGTGACTAGAAAGGTGCTATGGACCCTTCCTTGTAGACAGTGTCCTTCAAAGAACTGAGGCAGCTTTTCCACACGTCCCCCGGTTCTCCAAGGAACGGCTAAGGCAGGTTGTGCTTAAGCACATAAGATTTGGATCAGAAAAACTCGGATTCAGGTCCTGGCTCTCCCACTTGCCAGCTCAGTGGTCATGGTGAAGTTACTTAATCTCTTTAAGTATCAGTTTCCCCTTCTGCAAACTGGAGATAACGTCGTACCCGACACAGATGATTTCCCTGGATCTTGATACAGACGATGTGCTGAGACACTGAGTGCCTGGCGCACGACACACGCTTGTGAAGTGTTAGCAATTACTAGTATGGCACGAGGCCATGAGTCAGGCTTTTTAAAGACTAGAAACTTATCACATGAGTTTGATATTTTGGTTTATTCTAGGCATTTAGTATCTATAAAAAACCAGTAAAATGACTCTCTCAGGAAAACATTCCTACACTGACCTCTGGGTGCTCTTAACCAAAATGCTTCAAGAACAAAGACGTAATCACATCGTCACAACCCAACCCTGGCGCGTTACCACATGAATCTCACGGGTTCCATAACTCAGGTGCTGGAATTCTGCCCACTTCCTCCTCTCCAACGTTTTCTCCCTATCATCAGAGTCCATGCAACTCGATCTCGAGAACTCACCTCGGGATGTGTTCTGCATTTTTCTAAGGCTTTCCCATATATCTTATTAGGACTGAAGGAAGAAAAAAGTTCTTTGAAAACTGTGTAAAACAAGCCACCTGAAATCACAGAAAAAGAAGATGAAGCAAGGCAAGAGCAGCATGAAAAGGGAAGTTAAAAAGCTATTTGGGGTGTTATACTTGCTGTTTTTTGCAACCTGTAATGCCGATTCCAATAAGCACCACTATTAAATAGGTAAAATCTCTTCCTGCTTCTTTCACTGCAAAGAGAAAATACCAGTCTGTTACACACAGCAGCTACTAGCAGGCAAGCCCTGCTTCTGTGTCTCTCGCAGGTGAAACAGACTGAGGGGCGAGGCGAGGGCTGTGTGTTCCGGAGCAGCTGTTTTAAAACCTCCCTGTGCATCCGATCCACTCAGAGCAGGGCTGGGGAGTCTATACTTTAATTTAATTCAATATTATACTTCTATTACTGCCTTAATTTCTAGTAGGAGGAAATCCTTTTAGCAAGTGATCCAGTCCCTCACAGTGAAAACAACTGCCACAGACTAGCAGCACCAGATGCAGGTCTGCCATTCACAGATGAATAGCGCTGGCTTCGTCAACCAAAGGGACAGGGACCAAAGGGACAAAAACAGGAGCCAACTCTTAATGCTAACTTTCCCAAATGCCATCCCCTGCCCTGGCACTGACTAGGGGCATAAAAGAAACACAGAATTGAATTCAGAACAACAATGTGGTTGGCCAGAAAGATTTATGAATCAAACGAACTTAGGAAATGAAGAACCTGTATGGAGATCTACACTATTTGTCACACTAATAGAAGACGTGTATATGGATTAAATAGAAGTTCTGAGAGCTAAAGAAACTCAAGACATTGTTACGGCCGGGAGTGGTGGCTCATGTCTGTAATCCCAGTACTTTGGGAGAATGAGGAGTGAGGATCACTTGAGGCCAGGAGTTCAAGACCACAATTTGAAAATTGTGTAAAACAAGCCATAATAGGGCAATAGTGAGACCTCGTCTCTACAAAAACTAGAAAAATTAGCTGAGTGTGATAGTATGTGCCTGTGGGCCCAGCTACGTGGGATGCTAGGTAGGAGGATTGCTTGAGCCCAGGAGTTTGAGGCTGCAGTGAGCTATGATTTCACCACTCCAATCTACCCTGGGTAACAGAGTGAGACTTTGTCATAAAAAAAAAAAAAAGGACATTGTTACAGGACAGAGTAGTTGTGTAAGTATAGCTATATACATTGTATACGTATCTTCATGTCTGCCAAGAGCTGTAACATTTTGATTATGCTACCATAACACTGAAATCACAGCTATGTTTTTTTTACTGATGCTGAAAAAAATGGATATCTTTTGGTATTGTATTTATAGATTAATTTGTTCACAATATTAGAAATCCCAAGTTCTTAAATATAAACTTTTTTTTTTTTAGAAAAACAACAAAATTTAACAGAGATGATTGTTTTGTTTTTCCCACTTCTTCCTTTTGTATAATATGCTTCTATTACTTTTATGAAACAACACTTGTTAGCCCTGCAAAATCCTCAAGTTTTCAGTATAGGTTCTTACAATAGAAGATATGATTCAAATAATAATTCAAATTGCATCTGCCAAAATCTGTGTAATTCATGGAATTGATTCAAATAATTGTCACCACAAATCCAATCTTCTTACCAAGGTTCAGGAGTTGAGGCCTACATTACATTTCATTCTGTTCTCTATTAATGTCACAAAATACACTTCAATAAATATTAATTTTTAGCTATGTGATTCTATCCCAAATTGAGAATACAATATCAATTATACTAACAGGTAGCCACATCTGTCCCTATTACAAACCAGGTCATTGTCCCCAACACCCTAGATTTTTGGCTGTGCCTCCCAACACATTCCTTCTCGCCTTGCTAAGGGTATCCGATAGGTCTATTTGTTTTACCATGAACAGGCACTGTGTGTCTACTGTGTGTAAAGCCCTGTGCTAAGTCCATATCCATATTCTATACATTTTTAAAATTTCTGTTTGTTACTTGATAGCTGTCTCCCATGGAAGCTGCTCATTGCCTACCTTTTTCTTCTTCACTCTTGCAGACCTAACACCTTCATGCAAAAACTCTCATGCCATTTGCTCCTGCAATTCTCTACCCTCCTGTAGTGGGGGCTGTGCTGCAGTGTGCTGTGGGTGCTCCTGGCTGGGGGAGTGTGGGTGGCTGACAGTTCCTCTCGGGTATTCCTGCATCTGAAGAGAGCCTCCTCAGCTAGGTCGGGGCGTTCCTGAGAGGATGAGGGTAACTAATTGTGAAAGGCAGAAGGCTCCTCCATGGCATGACAAGAGGCTCATCTGTTGCATCCAGAGGGCAGAAAACACAGAGGGTCAGGCTCAGGGCTTAGGAGCAGCAGAGAGGTTGGCATTTCAAGTCCATCAGGGCTCCTAGGCCAACCAGGGCCCTGCAGGGAAGGAAATGGAACCTGAAGCTTGGCATGGGGACAAGAGGGTCAATGCTCTCAAAAATTGTCCTGAATGTCCTGGGCCTGAACAAGTGGCTCATTCCTCTTGCTAAAGGTCAGCGCTTCCATCTTCTTGACAACTGGGGGGCAGGGTTCTGCCTTGCAAGTCAGGAGCTCCCCTCAGGAGGCCTCTCCACCTCCCCTCCTGGCCACGTTACCACGTCCCTGGGCAGAAGGAACAACACAAACACTACTCTGAGGGAAGGAGCCGGAGGCCCACCAGCAGGAGCTGGGAGAGCATACACACGACTGTCTCTCTAGGGTGGGGGGTCAAGGGCACAGAATGCAAAACCAGCTGAGCAAGAGTTGATCGGCTCATCAGCATGGGCATCCTGGCCGAATAGGTTTGCTCTTCGAAGCTTGGGGACAGTGATGGCCCACATTAAGGGAGGTAAAAATGACCGAAAGTGGCAAACTGTGGAGGAAAGTCTCCACAGGCTCAGAGGGTGGGTGTGCTAGAGATAAAGATGCTGTGACATTAAGTAATTAAAAATCTAGGCTGTTTGAACTCAAAATTACTTTGAGCCTTAAAGGAATGTGATTATGGGGTCTGAGTCAGGTGGCAAGCAGCTGTAACCTTTTTCTCTGATTATAGGCTGACCTCCTTCCTGACCTGCATTGCATTGTTTTGTAAAATGTTGTAAATGACTAAAAGGCCCAGGGAAGACCACATCCTGATCTTCATTATAGGTTAAGACACAGCTGATCTTCATTGTAGGTTAACCTCCCTTTTACCTTTCTCACACAAAGATATATGCTGCTATCACACTGTCTTACAATGGAATGTTAAAGATACTCTAGGAAATGAAAACGAGCTATATAATTCATTAGATTGCTGTAACTCATAAACCAGCCATGTATAGAAAATGTTATAATCCTACTAAGTTTATTTTCTGCCTACATAAGCCAGAACTTTACTTTTAACTTTGGGACGCTGATACCATTTTTCTGGAGCCTGTCTCCCAAATGGACATTCCCAGCTTTTCACTTGAATACACTCTTTAAAACTGAATTCTGATCCTTTCAGTTATTTCGGGTTGATAATATAAAGCCTGAAAACCCACCAGCTGCCTACATTCCTATGTTCCATGGGAGGGCTTGAAGGACACTGTTTTCCAAAGCTGTGAAAAGCCATAGTTAAGTCATTACAGAGCAGGATTTCCTGACAGCAATGAAAGAATCCTGAGATAGAGACCAGGTCCTGGTGTTTAACCATCAGAGGCCAAGGTGGGTGCAACTGTCATAATGAGTGGCAAGGCTACAGCGGCAGCCAGGGGTGTCCTGCACAGAGCAACAGAGATGGTCACTAGAACTCAGCGTTCCCAAAAGCAAGACTGGTGGGCAGCTGGCAAGGATATTATTCAATAATATGTTCAAAGAGAAATTAATACTGTATGATCAGGAGACTGAAGGCAGCTGACCTAATGCAAAGTCCTGGTCACTGCCCCAGTTTCTGGACCAGAACCACTTTTCAGACCAGGAACCCATTTACTGAAAAAAAGGCCAGGTCCCTCTGAGAGACGTGAGCAAGTGTGTATGATTCCCCTGGTCCTTTACCAAAGGGACTTATGGTTATCAATGTGCACACAGAGTCTGTGCTGACGGTACCCGAGGATCCAGAGTCATCAAAGGGCTTTGCTGCATAGGAGGCCATGTAATAAGAGTCTAGCTCATAAGTTCACAGCTGGGTCTAAGGACTCATAGTCATTTCCCTTATTTCCAAATGTATAAATGAAAAGCATATACCCAGTAATTGGCAATAACAACCTCTACTTTTAGTTCCTTTGGAAATGGGTTAAGAGCTATCATCATGGGAAAAGTCAAATGGAAGCCTCTGAAACTGCCCCACTGACCAGATAGTACATCACAAACAATATCAAATCTAAGGGGGAATGGCAGAGATAGTGCTATTCTTAAACACGTAAAGATGCAGAGTGGTGGTCCGCAACATATTTCTACCAGTGTTCCATTTACAAAAACCAAGTAGAGGCTAAAGAATGATAATGGTTCACTGCAAACTCAACCAAGTAGTAGCCCCAATTCAGATGCAATGCCAGATATGATAACTTTATAGGAAAGTCACAGTCTCATGGGATTGGTCATTGGTGTGAAGAATGCCTTCTTTTCTATCTCTATTGAGGAGGAGGAATGGTAGTTTGTAGTAACAAGAAACAGATAATAACAGTGTATATTATGGTCTTGCCCAGAATCTACTAATTCTCACACCATCTGTCATAAGAGAGTCTTAAGGGACTGGAACCCTCTGGACTGAGGCTGTTCAAACAGCAGCCACTTACCACTCATGGCTATTTTAAGTTTGATTTGAAATTAATTAAAATTAAATAAATTCAGTTCCTCAGTCACACTAGCAACATTTCAAGTGCTCAATCGCCACAGGTGGCCCATGGCTACCATACTGGACAGCAGAAATATAGAACATTTCCATCACTGCAGTTTTATTTGGACAATGCTGTTCTTGATATTCAGCAGAATATCACATTTGTCAACTCTATCAATGCCACATCATGTTAGAACCAATAAGTAACAAATGGCAAGTGTGTTGGAAGGCTTGGTAAGATATGTGTTCTAAATATGAGAGAGGGACCCAACAAAGATTCAGAAGCTCACTAATCACATCGGTGAAACTAGTAGGGGTACACCATGTGAGACATGCCAGGACATCCCATCCCAAGTAACAGACAAATTATTGCATCCTATACCTTCTACCAAAATGGCTTCTTTAGATTCTGGAGACACATATTCTCTATTTAGGAATACTGCTCCCATACACTGAGTAACAAGATAGGTTGTCACCTGTAAATAGGGTCCAGATTAGGAAAGGGCTCTGAGCAGGCCTAGCCTGCAGTGCAAGTAGCACTGCTGCCTGACCCAGGTGATTTGACACATGCTACGTGAGGCTTCTAGGCCTTTCACCTGTGCATAGGGGCTTTTCCTTCACGCAGAACTACTATTATAAATGAAAAACTAGATATTGTTTTCACATATTTAGATTACAAAACTATTGGCAGGATATAATTCAATTCTTTTGTTAAAAATTATTAAAATGCATGTACATCAAAATGACATAAACCAAAATGTTAATAGTCATCTTTGTGTTGGTATAATCGTGGCTGTCTGAATTGCTTTCTTTGCCTTTTACTTTTTTCTACAAACTAGTTAAATGAAGAAATAAACCACAGAAAAATGAAACTTAAAATACCTATGAAAACGCCTATGACTTTCTCTGACAAAATTACATTCCCCCATCCTCCCTATTTTATATGTTCTTTCTATTACTGCAGGTAACATCTGAGGGCAAGTGATGTTTTGGACATCTTTAATTCTGTAGTCTATACAATCTAACTACATAACTGGGCATAACAGCAGTTACTAAACAGATGTGTTTATTGAGTTGAACTACATAAAGTTTTCTTATTGATTATGGCTGAATAATCTCTGTCTTTTGTATTTATCCTATCCAATTACTCTTTATTATATGTATCAGAACTAACAGAAATTGAAAAGAATTTCCTAGACATAATGCAACAGTTATATCGAATTCAAGATCAACTTTCAAACCCGAGTTTAAATTTGTGAAGATTGTAGGTCTATATTCTCTGGTTCTCAACTGTTTAAACAGTTCCACCTTTTAATTCGTATGAATTGTTTTCCCATTTTTAGCAGCGAACGCGGAGTCATAGGGCATTGGCAGCTCTCACCACCTTTGTTGGAAGACCGATCATTACGTTAAGTATTCCTTTTTACCTTTCTGTGACGTTGAGACAGCAGTTTCCTCTCTCTGACTTCTTTGTACAGACACTTGTTTGCTACTATCCTCCTCCTTTGCTTTCCAGGGCCTCGGTCCCTGAGTCCAGATGTTTTTCTGGGTGACTCCAAGAACACATCTAGGTTGCACGGTTTTCTTCTGCTCTTGAAGCCCCCATCTCAAATTGGACTCAGTCTTCAAGCAAGCCTTGTTAAGCACAAAGTATGGCAAAAACAGTCGCCTTCCTGAGGACTTGTGCAGCTTCTCCGTATACTGTACAGCTCGGAGAAAGGTACAAATCATGTTCATAGGAAACTGCTCCGCTGAGGGACGATGTCAACTACAACCAGCAAAGCTTCACAATCACACTACACACCCAGCGGACAGGTTCACAAGTCAATACACTCACATTACGCAGCGTATTAGGTAAAAATGTTAGCTCCGATATCGTACATTAAGACGAAAAGTCTCCTCAGGGAAGCTGACGTCTACCTTCCCCTCTCTCCTCTTCCCACTTAAACTAAAATGCTCTTTGAGTACCTTCTACGCTGACATTCACATTCTCCCCGCCATGCCTTCGCAAAGTACCCTGGGAACCCTTGAGGTGGCCTGGGAATAGTAGTTTGATGACCTAGCTCCTGACTGAGTTGCCGCGCTGGGGAGAGCAGAAGGGCCTACACTTCCCACAATGCAAGGCGACGGCCCCACAGTTCCCAGACACCTCGGCGCGGGCTGACTGCGCATGCGCAGCAAGAGCTTGGCGCCCCGGGAAGGCGGGGCTGGGTTACTGCATGGTTCAAGAACTTGAAAAAATCAAAACAGCAGTTATAAACTGCATGTTTTCGTGGCCCTTCTGGAGAGCAGTGTGCAAACTAGGAAATTTCCTGTCTGACTGGGGCTTTGCCATTCCTTATGGCCAAATGCTTGTTTTTACGGTTCAGTTCTCCAGACAACCAGACAATAGAGAGCCAGCAAGCGAGGTCCTCACCAAGGAGGCGCGACTGTCCTAAACCCCAAGCGGCGGACTTGCCGTCTGGCGTCCTTGGCTTTCTTGGGGAAAGAAGCCGGGACCCGGAAGTTTCTAGAATGCCGCTCCAGCAGTCGCTGTTAAGGCGGCGGGCCGCCCTACAGCACGCGCACGCGCACGCGCACTGCTGGCCGCGCGCCTGCGCACGCGCGCCGGGACCGGACGCGCCACATTTAAGCCGCGGCGCTCGGGGCTGGCCCAGCCTGGTCTCCATGGCGACCGGACGCGGTCGGATCCTGCGGCAGCACTGGCACTGCCTCCAGACGCTGCGCTGTTCCCTCCGCGGCGGCGGCGGCACGGGGCGAGCGAGCGCGGGCCCGGCCGTGGGGCGCGCCGCGGCCTCCGGGTTCAGGTGACGGTCGCGGGACTGCGCGCGGGGGTTCTGCGTGGCGGGGGAGCCCCTCACCGCCCCGCCCGCGGCCCTCTCCCGAGTGTGCCTTGTAGGTCCCGCCCTGGCGCGGGAAGGGGCCGAAAGCACGGGCAGGGGAGACGCTTTCCAGCTGGAAGCGTGGGGTTCCGCGGGTCAGGACGCAAGTGAAGTGGTTTCCCAAGGAAACGCCCTTTCTCCTCGTGCGTTCGGCTGGTCGGCGCTGCGGGGCCGCGGGGAGCCCTGCGCCCCCGGGCGCCTCGCGCGGGCCGGGATGCGCCGCCGCACGTGCGGGGACAGGTGCGGACCTCACCTGGGCCCCGCTCCTCTGTAACCAGGAGCCGCCTTTCTTCGTTTTTAGGGTCTTATAACTCAGGGGAGTATAGATTTTTCTCTCCCGCTCACGAATCGTGCACGCACCATCCCTGAGCAGACAGCCCGGGCAGGCAGGTTGGCCTGGGGCGGCTCCTCCTGGGCTGCACTTTGGATGTCAAGGCCAAGTTGCCTTCTAGACTGCCACACCTTGGCCCTCACCTTCTGACCCTACCCCGTCTTCCAGTCTAAAGGCAGGGGCCTGCGCTATTTTTGTTCTGGTGCCGCAGAGGCTCGCTCCCTTCCATTGCCCTGGGGGTTCCCTGGAACTGGGGAGTGGCCCTCTTCTAAGGCTAGAGAGGCGATTTCCAGAGGAAGAGAAAGGAGCAGGGAACAGAAGAAGCAGCTTCAGTTTAACTCAAAAGAAGTATAAGGATCCAGTGTTTCTCAAGTTTCGACGTGCTATAATGGTACCTTGTTAAATCCCTCTCATTTTATCATAGGAGTTCCTAGCGCTGTATTCATCGCTGTAGTTAGTTTACCGAGTGGAGGGATAATGCTGAGAATGGTTTACGTTCTTGAAAACCTTTTGCTCGTAAGGTTTCCCGGTTTATAGATATAGAAAGAAAGTCATGCACATTTTGCCTTCTAATAAACCATATGTCTATGTTTAAGCATTAAAAAAGGATTCAGTTACTTATTAGTTCAGCTATTTAAGTTTTTTTTTTTTTTTTTTTTTTTTTTTTTGAGACAGAGTCTCGCTTTGTTGCCCAGGCTAGAGTGAGTGCCGTGGCGTCCTAGCTCACAGCAGCCACCTCAAACTCCTGGGCTCAAGTGATCCTTCTGCCTCAGCCTCCGGGTAGCTGGGACTACAGGCATCGCGCACCCATGCCGGCTAATTTTTATATATATATCAGTTGGCCAATTAATTTCTTTCTATTTATAGTAGAGACGGGGTCTCGCCCTTGTTCAGGCTGGTTTTGAACTCCTGACCTTGAGCAATCCGCCGCCTCGGCCTCCCACGAGCTAGGATTACAGGCGTGAGCCACAGCGCCCGGCCGAGCCTATTTAAGTTTTGTTCCCCCCCCCCCCCAGTCTCCAGGAATGTCCCATGTCCTCTATAGGTCTCCAATGCTCCACTTACCCTGGTTTTGGAAGCACAGCCTCTTCCTTAGTGCCATAATAGTCTTGCTTGAATACTTGTAATGCTAGACATACCACAAGCCTTGTGACAAATAAAATGGTGACAATGCCTGCAAAAATTCTATCATGTAGGAGAGAAAGTAGAAATTTAAATAGGAAACTTGAACTTTTAATCCATTTGCCACTAGTACTAAAATTAGTCTTTATGTAGTGCTCTGTTAGAGGGAAGCTGAATGCTTTTTATATGAATATTTTATTCCTTTGTAAGTTGAGTGAACTTCCTGGTGGGTTGATATAATTACAGTGATTGTCATTATGCCTGAAATGGGAACCTGAATTTCAGCCTGTGATTTGGACACGTATACAATCTTTTGGTAAGGAAAAGTCAGGTGCTAAGAATAGAATGATTGACCATGTTCTAAGCAGGTGGTTATTTTTAATGTCTCACTGTGGAAAATTAGATGTTAAGGAATCAATGGTTCCCTTTTGACATAAAATGTGAGTGTGTATAAATGTTATCAACTAAGAAAAATAGCAGAAGGCATATCAGGTTGGCTTGATTTATACCTTGTGTAATTTATTTGAGTTACCAGATATTAAAATCAGGAACAGAAATTAGATTTTTAAAAATTAGACTTATTCAAAGCTGTCAGGCAAAAAGCTGTCACTTGAAAAAAATGTTTTTAAACTAAATTTGGCTATATCATTAAATGTCTACATTTAACTTTGTAGACATATGTTAATAGATCTGCATGAGGATATACATGGAACTTAATGATTTGTTAATTGTGTGGCCCTTAAAAATGTGCAGTTGTTTTATTTTATGGAGAAATGGAGATATGCTTTCAGTAGTGCCAAAAGTTACATTGGTAAGATTTATAATCTTATCTAAGATGTGGTACAAAGAACAGTTAGGAGATGACAGTCTCAGGGCCTGTCTGCCTCTCGCTTGGGACCTTAAACAAGTTCCTTTAGTTGCCTACTTAGAGCCTTAGTCTTCTAATCTGTGAAATGAGGGATTTACGATATCTATTTTAATTGTGGAAAACAAAACAGCAAAAATAGGCTTTAACATTTTTAAAGTGTGAAAACATGTTTGTAAGAAAATAGCCTTCATGTTCCAATTAAATAAAGGAGGATGAAATAAGTTTGAAACACTTATCATATTACCCTGCACAGAGTATATGGTTAAGAACTATTTTGAGAATTGAACTAAGTAAATAAACCTTGTCAAATGTTTTCATTAGAACAGATGAATATCTATTTGTTATAGAATCAGGAATTCAGATTAGGGAAAAACCTTTGGTACTTAAAACAACTAGTACCAAACAGGATTTACTAGCTTAATTGTAACTTAATACTATCGTGGAGTGGGAGAGATACAGCATGATTTTGAGGAACCACTAAGATATTTATTTATATATTTATATGCATATACTTTTAACAAACCGGTGACTTTATTTACAGTGTTTTCACAGTAGTCTTTCATAAGTTCTGGACACATAAGTTTTTCCTTGAACTCATGGATCAGTTGAGGCATAGGTGTTCTTGAAACATCTGGGCACACCCTAGCACTGTGCTTCTCAAATGGGGGTGCCAGCAGGCAGGGATGCATAGGGCGTCTTCCTCGTATGTAAAATTAACACAAAGCCTTGGGGGAAAATTAAATAACTCAACTGGTAAGTAATGTAATACATTTTTATGATAAGACAAGATAAATTATCTAGTAGAATACAATATTTGCATTAATTTTTAAGATCAAAGGAGAGTCTTCTAAGAAGTTTTGAGTTTGCAGGCTGTGTCTCTAGATTTCAGGGTCCTGGTTTCAACTTCTTTTAGGGGGTTTTGTTGCTGGGAATGCCTTTGAGAACCACTGCTCCAGTCTAAACGATTTTGCTGTCAAACTGTGATTCATAGCTTCTTGTGCATGTGCAGTTTTGAAATTAAAACAGTAACTCCCCATAATTTATTACATATTCCATATATTAAGAAAATTTAAAAATATAAGTTTTGTCTTTAATCCTCCAGTCCCTTTTAAAGAAGCCACCACACACACTACAAATCAGATGTATTAACTGTTAATACCTTGTCTTTCCTTCAGACTCTTTCTTTGTATGCAGGTGTTTACTTTTTCTCTTAAGGAAATACAAAAATAAGTTATGAAGTAATACTGACTTTTTCCAATCACCATGTTGTTATTTCAGCAGATATTTATTGAATGCTGTCTGCGTGCCAGGCAGGTTGTGGGTGCTGAAGGATCAGCAGTGAACAAACTTGTGCATGTACCTGCCCAGGTGGAGCTTACATTCCAGTGATAGCAAACAGACAGATAAGTAAAATGTGTAGTGTTGGACAGTGATGCGTGCTAAGGAGAAAGAAAAGAAACCAAGGATAGGGCACAAAGTCTGTGTATGTGTTAGGGGCTAGCGTGCACTTTTAGTTAGAATGGTCAAGGGAGGTCTCAGTGAGATGGTGACATTTGAATAACTGCCTGAAGGAGGTGAGGAGCAAGCCCTAGACACCTGGAAGACATCCCGGACCTATTTCTAATTCAGACACTTGAAAATGTATATTTGATGATGAACATTGTTAACTATTTAAGGTCATACAATTTAACCAATCCTGATACTGTTTCTGGTTTTTTCCAGTGCAGACAACTTTGAGATGGACACTTTTGAGTGAACTGTCTGGGACATTTTCTCACCTTAGGATATGTTTCTAGAGTGGGAATCCTGAGAGATTATTATTTGATGGAAAAATAATAGAAATTCTTTTTACTTAAAGCTTAGCTGTTAGAAACCTTTGTCAGTTAAAGATATTTTATCTT